GTTTACTTGTACACATTAACCCTGATGTACTGTCGTTCATTAGAGTAACCCTGACAGGTTAATGTGTATGTCACATGTGCTACTTAAAACTCCCCTAAGTCTTGAGGGATCTTCTCTTCTTTAAGTTTTTTAAAGATACACTTTATTGACGTGTTAAAGCCAGAGGTATAGGCCATTTCCTGTATGACATTATATATCTTTTTCTTTTACAGTTTTGTACTAATTTGTTTGTATTGGTTAGTGTTCCTTATTGTAAAAGTATATCGATATTTTTAATGTGCCTTATTTATAATTTGCATAGTTCCAAATTAATAAATCAAAAGGAAAAAAAAAGGGAAACCAAAGTGATATTAAATTACTCAAAGGTGTAATAATAACAATCACTTTATATTGTTACTTATATAGTAAATTAGAAAAGTTATTTCTTGTTGTATTGGCCACTGAATTTTTCTCAAAACGTACGGACAAATATAAATATCATTGTCGAAAAATGCTAAACACATATGAAACAAGCCAATTTTAAATAACAATTCAGTTAACGAACGAAAGATGTGACTTTGTATTACATTTTGCCAGCATCGCTTGCATAGCGTGAATTCTGAGCAAGAAAAATGAACAAGGAGACAATGTTTTGTATTCGTGGTGCATAGATTTGAAACATGCTTTAATTAATGTGCTCTCGGAAAAAGATATGACTTGATTCTTTGGTAACGCTGGTGTTTTTGTAAATATACGCATACGTTTGTAAAATGGCACAAGGCATTTGTTCATTTAATTTTTTTCACGAAACTGACAATGTTTCTGGCGAAAAATTATGATAAACATTAGGTTTAGCGCGATACATGCTTGGATAAACGAATACAAAGAAAATTTACCAAAGCAGTAACTATAAAAGATAATTTGTTTGTGCTTCGCTGTTAGTGATAGTAAAACGCGATATGTTTTGTGGTGTAAAAACGCTCAGTTTTTCTTTGTTTTCTATAAAATTTTATTAATTGTTTCATTGATTTGTAGTTGCATCAGGTAGAAAACTATTTTGGATGAGGAAAAGGAACGTTTTTCTTATTCTCTATTTTTGGGCTCGGAAACAATCTTAATAATGTAAGGTAGTTACAGTTAAAGGTCTTAAATTAGTTCTGGTCCCAACTGATATCAAAGATTGGTCACTCGATCCTCTGGCCACCAGTAAAGCTCTGATGATAAATATATTGTATCGTGGTCATATTTATAATTATAGCCCTCAGCAAGGTCTATGAATGTTACATTTCATAAAGAAAAAACGTATTACATTTCCTATACATCTCCAGCTACTGTTGTTTTTACCCAAATTTTTTAGAAAATTGAGATAAATTGCTGATTAGCCGTTGAGAATTCTAATTCAAAATATCTTTTTTCACAAAGACGCGTGCACGTTGTTATGAAACGTCGAAATTTTAGTACTACTTTTATAAAAATGAATACGTTCGTTAGTAAGTTACCACCAGTTCAGAAAGCAGTTCCTGTTGAAAAGAAAAAGCAAGAAATTTCAAGACTGTTCCTCTTTTATAAAAGAGATCAATTGACAATATTTTTTTTCACTAAAGGAAGTCATTCCTTGAGGTTGTTGGCAACACTAAAAGAAGTGTCATTCTAATGAAGCTGCAAGAAGCATTTCATGGTCGTCTTCGTCTTCTTCTTTGGCAGTCAACATTAAGTATACGCGATAGTGCTGCCCATTCGATAAAACAAAGAATAGCTAACAGTATCTGCAGAGACTCCGTGATCAGTCATGAGTTGTTGACTCTAATAAAGCTACATGACAGAGTGTGGTGGTGGTACTACTACTAATAAAGTCACATGACAGAGTGTGGTGGTGGTGGTACTACTACTAATAAAGTCACATGACAGAGTGTGGTGGTGGTGGTACTGGGGCCAGGCCTAAACCCGTTTTGAAGTGTCAATTCGCAATAATGGACAATTGTTATATTCTAGATCCTCGTGACATTCTGTACATGTTACACCGATCCTGTGAAGCTTCAAAATACACTGTTATTTATTATTCAAGTGACAAGTCGTGAGGTAGTAATTTATGCATTTAAGTATAATTACAAACTGTCATTGGACAACAAACAAGACACTGGTAAACTCCATGGAGAGTATAAAGAAAGCAGAACCAGACCACATCGTAAATCAAAATCTTGAACCACTAAGGCACTCTGACAAACTTTATACGCATTTAATTTTGATACTTAATTTCCGATTAACGTGATCGCAGAATGTTTCCTCATCGTAGGAATAAAGTTAATAAGTCGCAAGTCTCGCCGTGCTTGTTCGACATATAATCGAGTCACACTACCAATCAGATTGTTTAAACAACGGAACTTATTAAAGATTTGTTATTATAACGCCAATACAAAGATATGTTCAAGGCGAATAATGATTGCTTTTATGCAATCAGTAATACTGAACAATAATGAAGAAATGAACTGACAAGCTATGTGATTTTCGCATAAGTGGGAGTATCTAAATATTCTTCATTATTTTCGGGCAAAATACTCCGTTGACGTCAAGATAGTAAAGATCTCATTTTAATTCTGATTTCAACTTTAATGGCAGGATCTGGACTAGGTTTATTAAATAAACCTAGTTTACGGATTCTATCGTGATTTTATTTTGATTTTGTAATTCCCCACGTTTTTTCATGGTCACGGGACTAACTAAGTTGTTACACGTCTTGATGTCAAAGTTATTTGTTGTTTATTTTTATTCCGATCTACGAAGAATCCAAAAGAAGCTTATGGTATCTTGAGGTCTAGAAAACTAGTCTATAAGTTATGGGATCCCAAGCAGATGATAAGCTCCTACCATCTTTTCAATTGAAATTTGGATGTTTCTTTATTTCAATTGCTTCGCGGATCATCCTTGGAAGGAATCGGTTTTCTTTTACGAGGATTTTCGGCTGATCAAATCTAATGTAGTGGTTGGGGTGGTCTAAAGTATGATGTGATCATACTGCAGACTCTTTCAACCGTCGGTGCTTCTCGTCAGTCGGCGTTTCGGTTCGAATTACAAAATCAAAATAAAAACGCGATAAAATCCGTAAACCAGATTCATTTAATAAGTATATTTTTTCGCGCAAAATCAAGACGTCAGTATCTGGACTATGTTATTCAATAGTTATTTTTAGGTACATTTTATTTCATACTCCGTATACGCTTCTGCCCATCGAAAGGAGTCGTTGATATCTCCAGGGCGGCCATAATTACTCTTAACATTGCTTGCTGACCACTTGCTTGCTGACGAACTTCTCAAAGAAAAAACTTTACATAGTCCAAATTTTATAGTTAGTCCCGGCTACCTATGGTATTCAAACCTGCTTAGTTGGATATTAAGTCTCAGCATTAGGCGGGAGGCAAAAGTGTCTATAATTTTATAAGCATTTTAACAGAAGATTAGTTCATAATGTCATAATTATGTGGATAATCGGGCTTGAACTGAAATGAGTGGATTGTCAATTGTAGGCCCTCAAACGATCTGCAGACCACGACCATGTCCGCCATCGACTGCATGAATCGTTTAATAGTAGCGTTACGAACCCCCCCGAAATGCCTGTCTACCTTGTGTACTGGGTGTGTTGATTTTAATGTGGGCGTACATTTATCCTAACAAATTACAGAAAAAGCGACCTCTACTATTTGTCAGCTTAGGAAGTAACAAGTCAACAATGAGCACGCGACAGGGAAATGGTTTAAAGCTTAACGTTCCGATGGTAAGGGATCAACGCTATCCAAGGACATCCCACAAAACTTTGATTTTGAAATTGATTTGTAACACCGTTCAAAGCTAAGATAGGAATAGTCTCTTTTGTTGAAAATTCCGTTTAATGTGTTAATAAAATTAATGTTTACGTACTCAAGGAATATTAAAGTACAAAAACCAATTAATCGACCTGACTGAAAAAAGCTAAGTAAATAAAAAGGTAGCAATTAACAAGAACTGTAATTTTATACCAAATCGTAATGGAGATCAATGAGATTTGTTAAGGTCTAGTTCTGCGCTGAGGCGGCCTAATGTGCAAAATCCCATCAGATAACTAAAATGACTGTAAAAGAAATATTTTATTATGATACCAATCGTACAGAGTCGTGATAGAAGGTTTCTACATGACTATTAAAAAAATTATATGCATATACATTTATATTTATGTGAACTTTGGACCTTCACATAAAAACAAAGGAAATAGCTCATAATTTTTAGACGACTCACAAATGGATATATAGACAATACAGTTAACGCCCCGACTTTATAGAAATTAAGGAACCTTTTAGGAGGGCATGTTATTTGATTTCCTCCTATTTCACCTTTTGATGTTTTGGAGTGTTAGACACTAAATATATGATTTTCTTTCCTTTACTTCTGTCTTCAAGTACAAAGAACCTACTTATTTGATTATTTTACATACAAGCTTAGTCCTTTCAAGCTTGGCTTATGTTGTTTTACTGTCGCTAAAAGACATTCATAATATTAAAATTTTTAAAACGCAGAAACATATTATTTCCATTTCTTTCTGATTCTCACTTGGGCTCAACACAGTTGAATCATATGCAACTTATGTACGGGTATGATAAGTGCGAGCACATGTTATACCTAATTAGTTACACAACGCGTACACAAGGTGTACCCGCGTAGTAAAAACACAGTCGACGGCCATCGGGGTCCCGGTTCGCCTACCACAACCTCGATGGCCCTCAGATGACATATTACCATAATTAAACGCACGCATGAGCACATGCGCTGCGCTGTCCACAGCGGACGGCCCAAACCCGTGGGTTCTGGCTAGCCCAACGGTTCTGCGTTAGATGAAGCTTTAATAGTCTCGGGACTGAAATCACAAACATCAGTTAATTGTATTAATACAATTGATATGATGATACAAGATATAAGCGAGCATATGTAAATGTTAACTCTTACAAATGATACTATATAACAGTTAATCTTATATTAATCTATTTTTGTTACAGTGTAACCAACATATTCCTAGTGAATCTGTCGGCGGCGGATTTATTGGTTACAGGCATCTGTATGCCAATACAGCTAAGTAAAGCCATCACATTGGTTTGGTTCTATGGCGAGACTGTGTGTAAAATCGTCAACTATATACAAGGTATTAAATTTTTTACATTAAACTACCCACGTAGAAAATAAAAGTAATAGACTGTAGGAAAATCCAATTTAAAATTAAATAACGAGTTATCTTAAACATTTTAACTTACGAACCAAGTAATAATTTCAAGAAATAAGTATTTATTTAGCTGAAACCTCATTGGAATTGTAGCCTCTACAATTTGTAGCTATACTTACTGCATTATCCTGTTCACTCATATGTAACAGTTATGTTAAAATTAATGCCTTGTTGTACCGAAATAGGCACAACATAATAAATATCTAAATATAATGCGAGAGACATTTTTGTTAGATTCCACTGGAGATGAAAATCTGTGACTCTTTTTGAATAGATGATTTTGTATTTGTCTCACTTACGCAAGAAACTTGAAGTCCATGAGTTTACAGCACCTCAAATAGCACATCATTGCAAGATAAATATCGTTGACTAATTGTTACGGCTGGTGTTAAGTGGGATGTTTCTATTCTCAATCAAATGTTATTAAGCGAGGAAGTTTAGTTAGTTTCCTGGCACCATGCAAAGTGCGCTATCTTTGTTAAATAGTGTAATAAATATTTATAGGCAAAGTGATCTATAATCATTTCATATCTACTATCATTATTGTTTTTCAGGTGTTGCTGTGGCAGCCAGTGTTTTTACTTTGACAGCGATGTCAGTCGATCGCTGGCTGTCTATAGCACCTGAGCCACGTCTGAGGCCTCCTGGGCGTAGGCAGGCCTTGATGCTCTTAACCTTACTTTGGTTTGCGGCAATGCTAATGTTCATACCACTGCTAATAGTCGCCACAGTGAGGAAGGAGGCAGTCCCAATTATCGCCAAGACGTTTAAAAATATATCGGTATGTTAATAAAATACATTGTTAAGTTTTATAAACAGCTCTATTCATGGACATTAATCTATTCCATCCCTTTAATAGTTTTAATTGTTCGTAATCATTCTTCTGCCCGTATCCTACTTAGCTGCAGTCGGCACAGCATGTGAATTATGTTGTAAGCGGTTTTGGCTAGATTTTTTTACCTACGCCGCCTACGTGACGTCAACAATCTTCTATGGTGTGTGGACAAATACTTGTCACGTGTGAACCCACGATACCCGACGCCGGAGCCCATAGCTTATCAACGCCACCACCGAGTTATACTTTTAATTATTATATAATTATAACAGTAACAAATACTTTGTTATGTCTGGGTGGTGATAACGAGTTGGGCAAGCTTGTTAATTTGGCATTCAAGTCAGTCATTGATCTTCATTGAATATTAATATTTAATCTGAATTCCCAATAAATAAAGTCTCAATGACTATATTATAAATCAATTAAAAAGTTTTTTGTAGCTTATCGCGTCCTAAGTTCTTCGTGTGATGATTAAAGCTCTGATTATGTGTAGCGCTGAAGCATATAATCTCAGCATCCGAGAATGTTAAGGCAGTATTGGATTCCAAATCGAAATTTCTGGACCCACGGTTTATCTCGCGTAATCTATCATGTACTCATTATTTCTTTTAGATAGAAACGAAAGACGTTCATTTTTGTACAGAAGATTGGCCGGGACCTGAGGCTAGGAAGAAATTTGGTACTTTCAGTTTCACACTTGTTTATGCGATACCGGGTCAGTATTTAATTATTTTTTTTTGTAATGTGGAACAAAATTTAATGGTTAATTTAAATTTCTATTATTAATTGTAATTTGTAAGTGAATATAAATCTTATATCTATAATTTACATAATTATTTTCATAGGAATTATAATAGCATTAGTTGTTTCGTTTCTTCTCTAAATATTTAATTAACTCTGGAATTTGGATTTAAGGGCGGGTCCCTTTTGGGGTTGTTTAAGAAAAATGGTATTTCTAAAATAAAAAATAATAAAATATGCAAGTTTTCTCAAGATTTTTTTTCTTCAACGCCTAGCATGTGATAAGACAGCACTTAGAATTTCGTTTGTGTTGGCACCGGAATTTGCTAAATACGAGCAATATGAATACAAATCCCATTAAAAGCGAGGACCTTTCAATAATTCTTAAAGTAAGCATTTAGGACTGTTAAAGCATTTTCTCACTAGACATCAGGTGGAATTTGCAGTCAAAATTTAAGAGACAGTACATTAATGTTTCCAAGTGAAGTGTATTTTGTTCGTGTCCGTAAAGGTGTGTTAACAGGCATTATGAAAGTTTTATATTCAAATAGCGAGTACAGACTGACAAAATACATTTTGGTTCACTTGCTATAGAAAAAAAAAACTCATTAAAAAAGCGCTCCATCATAGAAAAAAAAAACTCATTACCAAGCTACCATACTTTGATTTGTTGCTCATACCTTTCGACTTAACTCGATCTGAAAGCCGCTTATGTTAAATGTTGAATGAATAATTTGAAATACTTTACTCGCAGGCTCAATTACTATCCTCTCATACGCATTCATGGGCCGAACGCTATGCTCTGTCAGGCCACCATTTGACATCGACGAGGGCAACGTCAGCATGCAGCAGGTGAAATGTTATTTATTTATGCTCCGTTACAATTTCATGGGAATTCGATGGCATCGGTTTGAAACTAATGTTTCTGCTGCGCCTTTACTTGTACTTATATATATAATGTACTTATAATAATTAATTATTTTCATTACTGATTTTATATTATTAGTAGTTTCACAGAAATCATGTAATAAATTTAAACAAAATAAAAAGAGAAAATTCCTATTAAAATAAATTAATTACTTCAAATTAATCATTCTTTTTGTATTTCCCGTGAGTAAATTTTCCTAGTCTTATTCCTGTGCCTTTCTTAGAAATATTTAAATAGGAAGTCAAAGCTAAAAAAGACACTCACTTTAAAAAGTAAGGTCGATAGTCATTGTCAACACAAATCCTTATTTCCTCTTGTTTCAGGGTTTGAGATTAATGAAGGAGAGGAAAAGAGTGGCGTGGATTTTGCTGCTCCTTGCGGTACTCTTCGCCCTTTGTTGGCTTCCATATAACATAATGCAACTACTACTGGATATCAACGCTGTTAATGCAAAAGACTTAAGCATTTATTTGCCATATGCGTTGTTTATAGGTAACATCTACTTAATTTACTTTTTAAAACTGTATTTAAATATATTTTCACGAGTTGTTATTACCCGTTAGCTTTGTGTATATAAGAAGCCGAGTTATATATTTTTATATGTTCGAACAAAAGTAATTTACCACGACACAAATTAGTTGTCAATACAGCTCAGTCGGAATGTCTGAGCTGTATTGACAAGGGCCTTTATCCTTATTACATTTTTGTTTATCTTGATATTATTTTATGTTACAAAAACTTTTTTCATGACTCTCCTTAATTTTTTTTCTCTTACTTAATCTTAAATAACTGTAAATGTATGCACAGGCAAAATGAACTATATTTATTTCATTGTATCTTATTCCACAATAATTATCTGTTTTTTAATTATTATCATTTCATTGTTATTTTTTCATGTTACTAATATTTGTGTGTGTTTATGCAGGTCATGCCAACTCGGCAATTAATCCTATCGTGTACTGCCTTATGACAAGAAACTTTCAAAGGTCAGCAAGGAAACTTCTGTGTGGGCGAACTGTGTGTAAACAGAGAAAATTCACGGTGAGCTTTACAGAAACTTGCTGAATCATTTGACTTTAGCAGTGAATAATTTAATTACAAGATACTTTTTATCAAAACTGTACATGAAGTTCGATCATTAAATCTAATATAATTAAATCGATACTAAGAAATAAATGAACGATAAATAGACAGTTGATAACAGCCTGAAAGATTGCTTGACAATGTTTAAAAATTCTGTACATGTTTACAGTGGCGTTGTAATCAAAAACCCGAGGGATCTTCAAGTGATTATGAACTTTATCACGAACCCCACAAAAGGTGCTATTTACATGTAAGTAAATATTTGTCAGTGGGAAACTAACTAAAACTTTATTTCGCCTGTTTCTTCTCCGTTAGAGGAACCTCATTACGAAACGGTGGTAGATTTAAAAAATGACTATCATTATGTCTATCGTTATCATAACTATAAATGAAATGTATATTTCTTATTTCGATAAACAAATGATTTGATTTGATTTGGAACGCCGACTAATATGTTTACACTGGTAACTGATAAATGATGTCAATGATGTTAAGTTAAATAAATTAAATTTTGAGTTTAGATCCAATTTATTTGAATCTCTCTATGTACATCAAGTCAATTGTATAATTGTAGCGGCCTCGTGTTCCCGCGTCCTCAGTTTACACCGACAAGTTTTATTTGCTCAAAATAGCGAAACCAAAAATATTATATAACCCAAGAGCTTTAGAATAACAAAAATCATAAACAAAAAGTAGGTAAAATTTAGCCTGCAAACACATCTATGATAAAAAAATTGATATCCTAAGATAAAAAATTTGTAATATTTATATTCTAATTAATGAAGTTAAAACCAGGAAAGTAAAATCTTTATAACACCCAAAGTTGTCTTGACAGCTGGAACTGCAGTCTTGATACAATATGAAGGGAATTATATCATTTAGTAGAACTCAAGATGAAATTTTAAATAGTAAATTATTGGAGATATATAAAGAAAAACTTTCGGCGCTGCGGGAATTTCGGGACTAAGCTAAGCGGCCGATGACCTCACGGCATGAAAATCATTCTATTGCATTTACAGCAATGTTTGGCGCCATCTAGTGTGCATCATTTACAGCATACAGCACTTTACAAAGAACATTAAACGATGGGGATTTTAACGAGAGATGTCGCCCTTGCTTATTTTAAAGGCAGATATGATAACTAGACATTTCATTCTTTTAGATGAAGAATTTACGGCAAAACGGCCACATGCACGGCGGCTTAGTGATCCGTACGATGGACACACGTGCGCAGACGACGCAGCTGAGTCACGTCACTCGCTCCTCAAGACGCACCGCCCCGGCACACGTGCTCTCCGTAGACATGTTGCAGAGGCACGGCCACATTGATCTCAAACGCTGTTGAAACAATGTATATAAACTTACTGTAATAAACTTTCACATTTTTTCTATGGTTTCTGATTTAACACTCCTCTGTTTTTATTGTGAGATGACTATAATGTACTATATCAGTGATGATGTGGTACTGAAGACATATCAAAATGGAGTATAGGAGGGTGCATTCTTCATCGATAACAATTACTTAACAAAGTTAGGATGAATAAAGATCAGTCATGATAGAAAATTCAATTAATTATTACTGAAATAATATAATGATTTTTATAAGGTGAATTTTTATTTTTAGTGCTAGTCTCTACACTCAAGATGAAACTTTAAATTATCAGTTTTTGTAGCTGGCAAGCAAAATAATTTTTTATAATATAATAGGTCGATACTTTTTATTTTTTTACCGTGAATAATCGTTAACCAGTAGTCAGAATCAGGTACTCGATTATAGTTAAATTTTGGGATACATCTCATATCTCTAACTTCTGTTCGTGGGTCGTCTCTGAACAACCACGTCTCACCGTTCCTCAACAACGAGAATTTCCACAGCGAATTGCGACATTGACTTTCGAACTAGAATTATTCAGCGCTGAAACCCATGAACTACTATGGCAACCGACTCATAATCGAATTCAAGATCATGAATTTAGTAATTGATTAATTCTAACCTTGACCGACTAGACCATTTTGCTGATAAGACAGACATCGTCGATTAATAAAACTTAAGATCTTTAAGGCTTACTTTTTTTACCAACTTCAAAACCGAAGAGGTATTTGAGAATACTTGATGCATATCTTATTTCATTAACTTTCACGCGATAATAGCATCTAAGAAATTCTAGCAAAATAAATTATTCTACAGAAATTTTGCTTGAATCGTTGACGACCAAATATTCTCTGATCGTTCTCAACCTTGTTAAGATTTTGCATTTGTTTATTTTATTTGCGTTTACTATTTGTGGAGTGATCTGAAAACTTGTACGGATTAATCTGCTTCAAATATCTTTTATTTTGATTTTGCTTCGTCGCATATTGAGATAAATTGCCCGATATTACCGACACCCATTAATGGTTCCAGCATTAAAGTTTCAAAACATTTTTGACACCGACGAATGATTTGTTAATTGTCTCCAGAGATTTTCGGGACAGCCATGATGTGCCAATCTACTAGTTAGTGATATTTTCTATGAATTAAGTCCTTAAAGGGAAACAACAATTCCATAAATATGTCATAAAATAAGCGGAAGCCAAAGGAAGAACGAATTATGGTCATCATGTTAAAGTTTCTATACTACTAAAACTTATTTCTATATAATTGGTTTTGATTAATAATAGATTTAAAGAGATACCGACTGCTTCAACTTGACTGTATCTCTAGTACCATACTTATGTATATCGGTACTAAAATAATGAAGTCTGTTTTCGTTTAATTAAAGAGCTGGCTGGCAACATTATTTATTCTTTAAATTTGTACCAAAATTCTTCTGAAAAGAAATATAATGGAATCTTTCAGGCGTGTTATTTTCTTGGTACGGGTAGTAAATTATTAATTTATATTTCTATCAAAAATGCATAAGAAATTTAATTTCATATATAAGATTTGCTTTGATTTAAAAATTATAAAATGTTTTACCATGAAACAGTCGGCAACCAACATTTTATTTGGAACTGTGCATAATGCTACTAGACTTTTCATTTTTAAATAAAATAGGAAATCGCAAAAACACAAACCTAATATATTATCAACAACACTACTTTGTATCTAGGTACGCTGAAACTTGTAAATGTCTGTATGTTTATTTTATTAACACATTCCTATCACATAAATATCTTGAGTTTTTATTGTACCACAATAAAGTTAATTGGATAACAGATACAGCATAAATACGCTCAGTGATCAATGTGTCGCTCGTAGAATTTATATAGATTATAAATTATTTATAAATATTAAAAAATGTATAAATAAAAAAATAAAAATAATTCAATATAATCTTATTTTTTTTTTAATTAAAGCTTGTACCTCGATCATGGGTGACTAGACTCGAGGGCTCTCGAAGGAGCCTCGGCTCAGACCGTCACGCTGTTATTATTGTCACCGACTTGAGAGGCCTTAGGTCTTAGGTCTCAAGGGCCCCCAAGAAGGGACCTCGGCTTGGGCTGTCACTCAATACCCGTTTAGAACTCCGATTCAAGGGTGCCCGAGAGGGCCGTATCTCGGCTTGATATGGTCCTCCAAGATCAAGTAATCTTTGTAATAGTGATTAATGTTTCTTAAAATATTGTAATCATTATTTTAGGTACCTATTAATATTAATCAAGAAAATAATAATTTATTGATCGTTTTATTGATCACACGGTTGTTTAATATTTTAATAAACTTGAATGAGTTTAAGGGCATGAAAAAAATAAATTCGATTATACTAACAATATCATTAATTTGAGTCCAAAAGAGTCAAAAAACTTCTCCGATTTCCGGTGGTTGGATGTTAGGTAGGTGGGATGATGAAATTCCACTTCATGTAATTAGTTCACATTTCTCGAAGTGAGATTTAAATTGTAGCCTAGTGTAACAGCTACTATTATTCACATCTTTTCTTAGTATATGTGTGTACGACTAGCGGCCCGCCCCGGCTTCGCACGGGTAACAATAAGTTTAACAAAAAAATTAAAAATTATCATACATAAAACCTTCCGAATGTTTCGTCTGTGGTGAATAATTTTATGAATTTCTTAATCTTTTAATAAAATACCCTTGAAAATACTCGAATTACGCGGACATAACCTTTGGTGGACATTTGCAAAATAGTATACTTACTAATAGTATACTGACAATATTGAAGTAATTTATTTCATATTAATTGTGTTTAAATGTGTAATTTCATTTAATGTGTTCTGAGATGTTTCAAAAAATTAAATGCCGTTTTTACTGCTTTTTATCGTTCTTTGCCAGCCATGCGAGCAGAAATGTCGGCCAAGGTTGAATTTCCGCTTGCATAGTACTCAAAGGAGCATTACATACATTGCAAAAATGCCATTTCTTTTAGTTTTGTGTTAATTTAGACTGCATTACGCAATTAAGCAATTCATTATTACATAAGATTGAGTTTTGTAATTTTTTTAGTAAATTATTTCTTTTTCTTAACATATTGGACAGCATTGTTTAAGCTTCCAAATATTTCAATCTGTCAAAACTGCGATCACATCTAATTTTTAGTTAATTTTGATAACAGAATTTTGAATTTTTTTTATTATCTTTTATACGTCAAAAGGGTGCTTTGATTGATTTTTTTTTCTTTATTAGGTCTACAAAACTGAATACAACCTTAACATAACTTTATAGAAGCTTCATAAATAAGAAAAAAAAAAATACTATTATAGGTCAAAAATCGACAAATAATTTGATATTCATAACATTATATATAACTGTCATTAATTATAACTGTATTTATAAATATGAACTACATAAAAATATTTCGTTATTTGTTAAGAAATATAAATGTATGTATATGTGTTATGTTTACCACATTTTCCTTCTTCGTAGATTTATTTTTTGATGTAGTTTCAAGATTTACGTTGCAGAAAAGTAATGTTTTTTGCAATAACATTAGGTGTATAGCATAACTTAAGTAGGGCTCAATTGTTTTATACTTAGCCACGCTGAAATTATAACATTATTACTATTCCTGATTGAACCATTGCGGTATCAATATTTATACTTAATATTTTATATTTTTATAGACTAATATACTTTACCCATATAACGAAATGCATAAAAATATATACTAAAAAATATTACTACTCACTTATTGTGATGCGTAGCGCAGCATTTATGCTGAGACGGTCCTTTCCGTCACTACATCTTTATTTATAAATTCCTTTAGATTTTTATTCCTTGTTTTACTTTCACTTATTTTTTTTTTGTAATTACTGATATGTTAGTTTATTTATTTGTTTATTTTTTAGCACACATATTACATTGTAACCAAATGTAATATGTGTGCAGATGAAGTGTCGGATTGAATGTCTTATGACTTTTTTTTTTTTTTTATGCGATAAGTTGCCAAACGACCAGACGGGTCACCTGATGTTAAGTGAATACCGCCGCCCATGGACATATGCTGCACCCGTGAGTATGCAGATGGGTTCACAACCTTTTCAACAATTGGGCTCCGGCAACCTCACTCACCAGACGAAACGCGAAAGTATTATACTTCCACTTGACGCCGATCTTCTGTGAGGTCGTGGTACTTACCCGGACGGGCCTGCCCATTCGTGCAACAGCCGAGGCTGCTGCGAGGCCCTACCACCGTAAAAGTCTTATGACATTCTACAGCCAAAGAGTTCCATGTTGTAATTTACTTTCAAATATTGCTTATGAATTTTTTATCGTATACATCCATGTACAAACCATCAGGTATAGCATGCACGACGGTATTCACTTAACTTCAGGTGAACCGTCTGCCCGCTTGGCAACTTTTCACACAAACAAGTCAGAATAATAAAACTAGTTACAACCAGTACTGTCAGTACTAAAGAGCCAAACTGTGCCAACTGAGAAAGGCATGCCTTAATATGAATGAAGAGACAACATTGTAAAGACTATAAAGGAGAAGTGTTTTACTCACTGAAAATATTTTTTTGGTCGATAGTATCAACAATATCAAATAAATTAACATTGCCATGTGAAATAAATGCATTAAACATGTTTTGAGATTTTCTTCTTGCAAAATTGGCTTCGATTATGTTTTATAATTATTAGTGTCTAATATATAAAATTCTCGTGTCGCGGTGTTTGTAATTGAACTCCTCCGTAACAGCTCGACCGATTTTCGTGAAATTTTGTGCATATATTGGCCAGGGTAGAGAATCAGACAACATTTATTTTTCATCCCCCTAAATTTTAAGAGGGATGAAAATAAATGTTGAGGTGGGAGGGTGGACCACCCACCCCAAACATTTTTTTCAACCCTACAAACAATTTATATGGCAAAAGAACGTTTGCCGGGGCAGCTAGGG